AGCCCCTTTGAGCCGTGTACTTTCCTTTCTTTCGGTCTACACTGGAAAATCACCCTTTTGCATCTCTTAGAAGGTTCCACAAAGTGGTTTTTGCATGTTTTCTGCTGTTTCTGTTAAATATAATGTGAGGGTTGGAGGTAATGCTTCAAAATTGGGCATGTTTTTGAAAAATGTGCAGAGGTGGTGGTTCTCTCAAGAAATGAAAAAAATGAAAAAAAGAGGAAAAAAAAAATGAATGAAAGCAAAAGAGAGCCACTACCTAAAAATCTGAATCATGCTCATTAAGTAGTGTTTCTTAGCAGTCTGGCTTGGAAATACTAACATTTTTGTGACCTCCTTCGCTCTTGTGCTCTAAGTAATTTGAGTAATGCAGAATAGCAGAAAGAAAGTTACTGGTTTGATTGGTTGTGAATGTGTTGGGTTTGGAATTGTGGAACCTTGTGCTATGAATACTTCCACCACCTAAAAGGTCTTTTCCCCATGTCCAAGACCCTAGCCAGTCATCTGAACTTGTGTCTAAGACCTCCGGATTAGTTAGTGGTGACACCCCATATGTGAACTCTAACATTTAGAGGCTGCCTTCATGGTGAAGAGACGTTAGGGATTGAGAGAATAAGCATGCGCATTTTTCGCATCAAATTGTCCTGACCCCACTGGTCGAGAGTGAGCGATTCATTTTCTCATATTCTCTATACTCTTTTACCCCGGTGAGGACCTAGATGGTTCGGTCTTGATTCTGATGTCTTGAGTTTTATGCATGAGTTGACTATCTTGAATAAGTGGTTGAGTCAAGTTTAGGTTGGTTGGTGAACAGAAGGGAGACTCCTCCTTTACTCGATTTTGCTACACTCGAATGTCCTCTGTGGTGGTTGTCCAGGTTGCGGTTGAAGTTGTTCAGGTATTGATGTTTAAAAGCTAGTATGATTCACGTGTTTCATGCCTATGAGATATGTCCCCAAGGGTTGAATGATCGAGATGTTTCGAGCTTATCTTGTATCTGACGTGGTTTGCTTGGGGACAAGCAAACGGTTAAGTGTGGGGGAATTTGATAGCGTCGTATTTGCACATGTTTCACCCTTGTTTCCTGACCATTTTAGCTCGAATTTGTTGTTCCTTGGCCTATTTTACGCTAGGTTGTGTTGTTTTGTCGTATTTCAGGTCATAGCAAGCAAAGAGGTGCATAGGCGCAAGTTTCGGGTGATTTGGAGGTCAGGTGATGATTCAAAGAGCAAATTACTGGCAGCCCCTGCCCAATTACGGGCGTAATTGCTCCTGGCATGCCCGTAAATGCAATGACGAGCCTTATTCTTCAGAATTCCAATCGCAGAGAAAATTACGGGCAAGAGTCATAGTGATTACGGTAGTAATTCCATAATTACTGGAAGCAATTGGGTAATTACGTAAATCCTTTCTTCTGAGATAAGTGAAACGCGCGTTTTGGGCAATTACGGGCAGACCATGATTACGACCGTAATTCAGCCCGTAATTCGCCCATAAGCGGATTTTTTAGGCAGATCCGAGCAAAAGGAGAGGGAATCAACTTTTTGGAGCAAAAACAGAGTTTTAGAGAGAGAAAGTGCAAAGAACAAACCCTAGGAGCTATTTGGAGTGGATTTCTCACCATTGAAGCCCAGATTGCATCCTCGGGAGTGAAGACTGACATCCCAGAGCAGATTTTCCTCATCTTTATGAGTATGACTACTCTGATTTCTGTTTTCCTCTCTCTCTCTCTATGGAATAGAACCTTCTCTCACTTGGGTATGAAGAACCCTAGTTCCATGTGTTAGGGATCTTGATTGTAATGACTTGGGATTGTTGTACTGTTTGGTTTTAATTGAATGATGCATGATTGATTGAATCAATTGAAGTCTGATCATCTTTTCTTGATTTCTGCTGCAACCTGAGATAGATAGAATCTGATTAGGTTGTTAGAGCTTCATCATTCGGTAGTGGTAGATTGGTTATACGAGAGTTAGTCAATCTACTCTTTGTGCTGGAATCCAATTCCAGTAGTGGAGTTCTGTGTTCATACTTCATAGCCTCAGCTTTCTGTCCCGTGAAGACTAGTCGTCTGCCGGGTAGTTGGACTAAGAGGGCTTGGTCAGCTTAAGAGATTCCAAGCTACTGTCGGATCTTCCGCAGTTTAATCAACAGTAAATCAACCCAGGGTAATTACAACTGTGACCTAACTAAGATCTAGGGGGACTCATTCCCGAGTGACTCTTCCTTTGCTTTAGAAAACCGAATCTTTTCCTGCTTTCTTACTGCTTTTAGTCAAAACTACAATCAATCGACTTAGTTGGCTAGATAATAGATATTCACGGAGTAAGCAGTATATCTAGACCCCGGGTTGATAATTAGAACTTGTCACTTTACTGCATTCCCGGACTGCGATTACACTTGGTCGCAGTTTGGTGTTGTGTTGTAGCGTGTCAGCGACCAATGACAACCGTGTGGAACAAGAAGAACTCACCCCGGAGAGCTCCCATGGTGACTGGTGAGGATGAACAAGAAGGATGCATTGATGACTCCTATTACTTTCCCCTTACCGAAAGCAAGTTTGAAAACCAAGACACGAGTGTAGAGGAGCAAGAGAATCCTTTCTATGATCTTTCATGGTACCTTGACCTCCAAACTATGCTTGAAGACATGAATGGGAAGGAGAAAGAAGAGGTTGAAGAGGAGGAATCAAGCTTTAAAGAGGAGAAATATCTCGAGTGTTCCCAAGGGGAGGAAATTGAAGAAGGAAGGGAGGTTGAAGATGAAGTAGAAGGAGCAAGGGAGGTCCAAGATGAAGACGAGGTCGTGGTGGATGAAGCTTCAACAAGTTACAAGTGCGAACAAAGCTTTCCACCCGACCTCGATGCGCTTTAAGAGAAGACACGTTTGCGGCACTTTGCCAAGCCAAAGCCAAACCATCTGCGATCCCTCTTGGTGGATGCGATGGTGGTAAAGAGATGATGCACTACATGGTGTGGGGCAAAGAGAAAGAAAGAGAAGGAAAGAAGGAGAGGTCTCGTGGGTGGAGCCTCAAAGCCACTCAAGTTCACGAGCCGTCAATCATGGACTCGTCCAATGCTCGTGACTTGAGACATCACCTCACCGATGAGAACCTCAACTTCAAGGAGGTTCTTGGTTGGACCGAAACTCGAGGAGCAACTTTCCGACTCACGACGTTAAAGAAGCGCTTGGTGGGAGGCAACCCATCTACCATTGGTTTGTTTGCTTTCCGCTCCAATAAGAAGACCATTGAATAGATTTTGGTGGTGTTTTGGACATGCTCACGCTCTTCCGGATCTCACCTGCCCTCCGCTCCCGAGCACAAACATTCACAACTTGACCGGTAACATCGTTCTATCCCCTTCTTTTCCGCCATTGAGGGCAATGTCGAGCTTAAGTGTGGGGGGTAGTCCATTATGCATGTGTGTGTGAATTTTTGGTGTGATTTTTAATGCTTGGAGCCTAGATGTATGCCCAAATTTTCAAAATTTGAGGGCTCCAAGCATAACAACTTCTACATTTGTATGATCATAGTGGCATCTTGTGGTGATTTGTTTTGAATCTCGTGGTTATTAGCATGGTCTATGGATGATTTGCTTGTGATTGTCTGCAACCTATGATGATGACTGAGACATGTATTAGGTCTGTGCATAGGTTCATTTCTCATGTGTTTGTGAACGGATAGATGTTTTGAATCGGTTACTTGCTTTTTCACAGTTGCCTATGCATCGAGTTTAGGGAGTTAGAACGAATGATTGAGCACCTAGGTAGCCATGTGAGACTTGTGTCGTTTGTTTCGTTCTTGTGCGATAGTTCCCCCTTTACATGATGTGTAGCATTCACGCCGTTGCTAGCGAGGAAGATGGAGGCATAGGTTTAGTCCACGACGCAAATGTTGACCGACCCGATCATATTATCCTTTAGTCAACCCTTTGAGCCGTGTGTCTAAGGGTAGTTCTCGTGTTAGGTAGCTCACGCTACTTGGGCTTGATTGATTTAGATAGAACGACCTTACTTTCTTCTTGTCTACACCGTTATCGAGTCACCCTTGTGTTTGAAAGCTCCGTTCATACCATTTGAGCTAAAACGAGGTTCCACATGAGTGATTTGTGTATGGTCTTGCTAAGAAGTGAAGTGAGTGTGGAGGTAGTTTTTTAAAGTGAGTATTGTTCCTTAAGTTAAAAAATGTGGCATGTTTATAGCTCTCTTTAGCCCCCAAAGATAAGATAAGAAAAGAAATAAAAAGAGATCAATAAGAGGGCAAAGAAGAAAAGAGAGTGGCCACCAAAAATATAATAAATGTTGAACATGCTCTTAGAAGTGTTACTTAGCATGCAAGCTTTAGGAACACTTACATGTTGTTTTCCTACCATACTCTTGTGCTTGAAATTGAATAGCAAAGGGAGCAAAAAAGATTGTTGCGAATGCGAATGGTTTGGTGATTGGTTGTCGTTTGGAATCGAGGGAAGTGTGGTTTTTGGCATATGCTAGTGGCCATTGAGTATAGAAGAGGGTTATAATCGAAACCTTAGAACCTTTTCTGGCTTTAGGATGAAAATGTGGAACCTTGTGCTATGTTTGCCACCACCCAAAAAGCCTTTTCCCCATGTCCTAGACCCTAGCCAGTCATTTGAACCTGTGTCCAAGACCTCCGGACAAGCTAGCAACGACACCCATCTTGTGAGCTCTAACATTTAGAAGCTATCGGCAATTCGTCATGGTAAAGGGACGTTAGGATTGAGCGTGAATATGCACATTTTTTGCATCAAATGGTCCTGACCCCACTGGTCGAGAGTGAGCGATTCATTCATCATGTTTTGTTCATTTCTTATACCCCGGTGAGGACCTAGGTTGCTCGATCATTCGTTCCTATGATGTGATTTTCATGCATGAGTAACTGTGATTGGTGAGTCGTCGAGGCATGTCGTGTGTTGGTTGATGAATAATGTGAGAACTCTTCTTTTGCACAATCTTAATACAGTTGAATGTCGTTTGTGGTGGTTGCCAAGATTACTTTGTTTTTGTCCATAGGTCGGTTCCAAATAACCATTGTGATTCATTCGTCTAGTGCCCTATGACATGCCCCAAAAATTGTGTTGAAAAAGAAGTTGTAAGCTTACCTTGTTTTGTACTTGGTTTGCTAGGGGACAAGCAAACGTCTTAGTGTGGGGGAGTGATTCGGGCCCAAATGTACACATTTTGCCCCTCATTTCTTATTCGTTTAGCTTAGCATTTCATAGTTCCTCAACATATTTAACGCTAGGTTGTGCTTGTTATGATACATTTCAAGTCCTAGCATGTGTGGAAGGGTCAAGGACGAGTTTTGGGATATTTGGAGGTCAAAAAGCGAAAAAACTGAAGAAAAATTCCATGAAACGGCCGCAGTTCACAGCCGGACGAGACAGTTCACGCTATCCTATGACCATGAACTTCGACCACAAACCGTGAACACCGAGGCGTCCAACGAGGTCCTGAAGTTACTGACGACAAGGCTGTTCACGGTCTTAGCTCTCTAAGACCATGAACTGTGGCCATTGATCGTGAAACTAGGACAGTGAAGCTGTGCGTTTTGGACAACGCTGAGTTCACGGACTCGTTTAGGTGTTCACAGCCGTGAACTGGCCCATGCGTCCGTGAACTTGTCACTTTCGGGCAAATATGAAGACAGCAGCGGGGAGAGAGAAATGGAGCTGGTTTTTGGAGAAGAAACACTTTCTTTCTCTAGGGTTTCAACCTAAACACCAAAGGGGAGTTCTAGTGAGAGAGAGAGTGCTAGAGTGATCTTGGAGCATCATTGGAGGCTTGGGTGGAAGATTCATGCCTAGAAGAAGAAGAAGATCCTGAGCTCAAATTTGTAATCCCCCCCTCTCTCTCTCTCTCTAGAAACTCACTCTTTTCTCTTGGGTGGTGTAGATCCCTAACTAATACTTTGTAATTACTTGTTTATATTGAATGATTAAGTGTGGATTTGCATCAATTTGAGTATTATAGGTGTTTTTATGGTGATTGTGCATGCTCATTCTTAGCAATCTAAGGGTTGTGCATATTTTGTGCTTAGCACCTGATCGATCAGCCAATTGGAGTGTGATCCGAGTAGGTTTAAGAACATCTCCCAATCCCAATTTCTTGTAGACTGAGTATGGCATCAAATTAATTCCTGCTCCAAGATCACAAATTGATTTATCGAACTCTCTACCTCCAATGACACATGGAATGGTGAAGCTTCCTGGATCATCCCTCTTTTCTGGTAATTTATTCTGAATCACAGCACTACATTCAGAAGTAAGGGTTACCTTCTCCAGATCAGCCCATTTGCGCTTCTTAGTCAGCAACTCCTTTAAAAATTTAGCATATGTAGGCATCTGTTCAAGTGCCTCCGCCAACGGTATGTTAATCTGAAGTTGCTTGAAGATATTCACAAATTTCTTGAAGTTTGGGTCTTCCATGGGCTTCATTAACCTTTGAGGGAATGGTGCGGGAGGTTCATAAGGCTTTACCTCTTCATTCTTCAATTTTTCCACTTTTTGAGGTACACGGGCAGCATGCTTTTGCACAGGCAAACCGCTTTCATTTTGCCTGTGCAAGGTTGATTCTTCATTTTCTACACTAGATCTTTCTTCCGGTGCTTCCTCTTCTGCCTCTGGTGCCTTTTTCGAGCTGCTAGGGTCTTCCAAGGCCTTTCCACTCCTCAATGTCACTGCTACAACCATGGCATCCTTCGGATTCCTCTCAGTATTTGCTGGTAATGTCCCAGGAATCCTGCCTTGCATATCTGTCAAAGTTTGAGCCATCTGTCCCATCTGCCTCTCCATAGCTAGCATAGACGATTGTAAATTATTGTTGATGGCTAGCTGTTGAGTGACAAATTGATCCAGGCCCTTGAAATTATTGTTTGTTTTCTGCATATGAGCCAAAATCAACTCCTCCAGCTGAGGCTTCTTCTCTGGTTGAGGCTGCTGCTGTTGAAAACCAGGAGGTGGGATGTTTCGAACACCAGTTGGGTTGTTGTTTGCCCAGGAAAAGTTAGGATGCTTCCTCCATTGCGGGTTGTAGGTATTTGAATACATACCACCCTGGCCTTGATTTTGCTGATTGTTGATATAGTGCACATTTTCCAACTGATCAGACACCAGTGGACATAGATCCCTATGATGAGCACCTTCACATAATTCACAAAAAGCAACCTCCTCTTGTCTACCAAGAGCCAACTTAGCCAGCCTTCGTTCGAGTGCATCGAACTTGGAATCCAACTTAGCATCAATCTTTGCTTCTAAGCTTGCAACTCTGTCTATCTCATGCAAGTCTCCTCTCCTTCGAATGCCGGTCTCAATCCCCCATTCAGTATCTTCAGAGCATATCTTCTCCACCAGTTCATATGCTTCTAGTGCTTCCATTCTTGTGAAACCATTTCGGGAAGCATTATTCAGAGCATCTCGGTATTGTCTTCTGATTCCGTTGAAGAAAATGGAGATCACGTTCCAATCTTCAAGACCGTGGCTCGGGCATCTCATTAGAAGCTCCTTATAGCGCTCCCATGCCTCGGTCAGACTTTCATCCTCAGCTTGTTTAAAAGTTACAATTTCCTCTTGCCTCTTCATTGCCTTGGCAGGAGGAAAGTACTTATCCAAAAAGGTCTTCTCAAGCTGACCCCATGTTGTAATGGAACGGGGTGTCAAGTTCTGGAACCAGTGTGATGCATTCCCAAGCAGAGAAAATGAGAACATCCGAAGACGGATGGCATCATCAGACACAGCCGGGCTCTTCATTGTGTCACAAATGTTTGCAAACCGGCGGAGATGTTCATGAGGATCCTCGGTGCTGGCCCCGGAGAAGGTGTACCCATTAGTGATCATATTGATGAAGGCTGGGGTAATCTCCATGTTTGCATCCCCAGCCGGAATGACAACACATGAAGCTCGGGCTCCAGTCCTCCGATTCAGACGAGCCCTGATCGAACGATCCTGTTCAGCCATGATGACAGGCTCGATGACGCGCGGCGGTGGTGTAGGTGGTGTAGGGATGACAAGTGGTGTCACCTGCCTTCTCGGTTGACGATTCTGAGTTAGGGAAGGCCTAGGAGTTGTGGATGTGGTAGGCTGCTTCCCTAACTTGACCTGCTTCCTGTTCTGTCGGCAGGTCCTCTCAATCTCGGGATCTAGTGACAGTAAATTGCCAGTTTCACCTGCACACTAACACCCAGATCAAAACAGTTCACTCACAAAAATCAACAAAAATAAGGTATGGCAGTCCCCGGCAACGGCGCCAAAAACTTGATAGGGCAAAAGCGTATAGCTTCAATTCCTATCTTGTAGTAAACCGGAAAGTCCGGGTATCGTCTCTCAGGGACTGGTACAACCTTAAGATCTATCAATTTTATAGAGCAAACTATATGTGAAAATGTTTAAGAGATGAAATTATTAACTAATAGCAAAATTAACTAAACTAATTAAGCAAAGTAAATTTGTCAGAAGAAATTCAATGGGAGAAAGCTCTGGGAGAAACACCGGGATTCACTACCTATCCTATCCAGATTAATTCACATGTTCCAATCAATTTAATCCATATCTCTACAGCCAGGATATCACGAATGTGCTAGCTATCCCTGTCGGGAATTACTACGTACTAAATAATCAATTCAAATCCTACTGTCGTAGCTCAATGAATTAACTATATAGTCTGAAGATCGATATCCTATTTAAGACCGCATAGCACCTTATTTAATCCACTGTCGCTTCGATAAGTTACTATGTCACATGAAACATGTTCAGTTATTAGGGTTTCACTGTCGCTAATAACCTAATTAACTACAAATCGATGTATTGGTGGCCAGTCAACACAAAGCATTAAGCAATTTCATGCAATAGAGATTGGAAGAAAAGAATCATAAATCAATCCATCAAATCAAGAAATAGCTACATCCTATGGTGTTTCCCCCAGAAATTGGGGTTTAGTTCATGACGAAATTAAGATAAATCGATAGGGTTTTGTTCATCATGTTCTAAAACAACAAGAAACAACTAATTAGGTTTAGAAAATCCAACCAACTAATCGCTCTCGTTGAACTCAGCTCAAACCTTAGAGAAGCCGATCGCTCAATCGCCTGCTCGCTAGCTCGCTGCCGCTGTTTGCTTTCTTTCTCACCAGGAATTCCGCCCGATCCCCCCAAAAATCAAACGTTCCGCCTCCTTTTATTCCTTTCGTTCCCAGCTACCTCCACCTGTCGCCTCCCTCTCTCAATAATAAATTCCCCCAAAATAAAGGGCCGCCTCTCTCTCCTTTAGTTCTGTCCAAAACCTTTGCCTTCTGCTTCTCTTTTTTCTCCTTTAATGAAATTCCCTTCCAATCCCTTTAATTCCCTAGTCCACATAATTCCCCACCAAATTGCTTCCTTCCACCTTTTTCCTTTTAATTCACCCTCCAATTCAAAGAATTCCCTGTCCAAAAATAATAGCCACCAGAAGATGACAAAACCTTCCAGAGCCGTGTGTCCACTTCTCCTGGCCCAAATCTTCTGGACCTTGAGCCCAAGTGAGTAGTCCACTAGTAATTCGAGCCCGATTTATTGCTTGTGCACTCGTTTCTTCTTCGTGCTTTCTCCACCTGTATCATATCAAACCCATGACACTAGGCAGTAATGGTTTTTCAACCATTCTCGGGTTAGCGAGCTCTAAAATAGCACCAATTGGCTAAAACATACCATGAGATAATCACATAAAGTCCAAGAATCCGATATATTAAAGCCGAATATCAGCACCCTTAGGTTTGTGCATGTTGGTGCTAGCAATCTAATTGGGCACCTTATCCTAGCTTAGAGAGGAAAATCCCCTTCCAAGGGAGACTCAATCGAGTTGGTTTTCCATCCGCTTTCTAAGCCACCTAAACTAGGTTAAGTTAGGGCAACCCTCAATATTGAGTTAAGCAAGTAGGTTAATCGTGATTAAGCCGTCCAACCTTAGAGTTGAGTGAGGGAGTAAGTCAACTACGGATTGTCTAAACCAAGAGGGCCGAGTGACATTCATGCTTACCTCGGTTTAGTAATTGAGATTGTGGTCTCCGGCCACATATGCATCCCTCTGCGGTTTGCAGTTACCAATTTGCATCTAGGTTGGTTGTGATTAAGCCGCTCAAACTCCGGTTTGAGGGAGAGACCTAGGAAACCACTAGTGACTGAGTGAGAGGATCGATCTCGTGACAAATCGACCTCCAGTGAATCCATCCCGTGAGAAATGGATCACTAGTTGCTCCTCCTAGTGGTTCCCCTAGACTTGGTGAGTGGATCGATCCCGTGACAAATCGATCGCTAGTGAATTGATTTCATGACAGATTGATCACTAGTTGCTCACCTTCGAGGTTCACAACCTCCTACGCCTCACAACTCCATTCAATCCAACGAGTCATGGTAGCTAGTTAGGGGGAAGCAACTTCCGGGTGAAGCTTCCTTAGTTAGACTTTTCCTTTATTTACTTTTCCTTGATAGTTTAGTTTGTAGTTCCATTAGTTATAAACCCAAAAGTTGCTTGCTAGATAACAACCTAAGCGATTGAAGTAGGTGTACATGGATCAGCCCGGGTTAACAATTTAAATACTTGCTCTATACTGCACCCAGCTAGAGTTTAAAAACTTGGTCTCTAGTCCGGATTAATATGTGGAGTATTTTCGTGCGAGTCACCCAAACATAAAAAAAATTTCACAAACAAAAGATATATGTTGGGGCATCTCATCCCCGGGAGGAAATGTTACCTGACCTCTGGCAGCGGTCACACTGTCGTGCGAAGGTGTTTGCACCCTTGAAGAGTGAGGGCCAGTAGAAGCCCGACGGTAGCACCTTCCGTTTCGTGCGATTTCTTCCATGGTGACTGTCGGTAGGTCCCTTGTGGCATTGAGATAGGATGTCTCCCATCACGCCATCCTGAAGAGGTAAGGATCCTCCCAGAAGTAATGCTTCAGATCGGAGAAGAACTTGCGTTTGGCATGAGTGGCCATCCCCTTAGGCAACTGTTTGCCTACCAGATAGTTGGCAAAGTCGTTCACCTGGGAAGGAATCATTGATCTCTTCCACGAAGTTGTCCACCGGAGGGGCTTCCAACCATGAAAGATGATCTGCAGCCACATTATCGTCTCCCTTCTTGTCCCAAATCTCGATATCAAATTCCTGCAAAAGCAGGATCCAGCGGATGAGCCTAGGCATTGCATCAGCCTTGCTCATCAGATAGCGAATCACAGAGTGGTCTGTGTAGACCACCACATGGGAGAGCACCAGATAAGGTCGGAACTTGTCAAATGCATACACCATGGCAAGTAGCTCTTTCTCAGTGGTGGTGTAGTTCTCCTGTGCATCGTTCAAGGTCTTCGACGCGTAGCAAATGGGCTGGAAGGGTTTCTCGCATCGCTGACCCAGAACTGCTCCAACTGCATAGGCACTCGCATCGCACATCAGCTCAAAGGGAAGAGACCAGTCAGGAGTCACCATGATAGGTGCATGGGTAAACTTCTTGATAGACCGTTAATTGCACATGTTTTAACCCTATTCTTGTGCCGTTTGAGATGTTGATTCTTGTGTTTTAGACTGATTTCACGCTAGGTTGTTCATGTTTGTGATATTTCAGGTCCTAGTACGTGAATGAAGGTTTGGGAGCGAGTTTGGGGTCGATTGGACGAAGATCGAACGTGTGGCGAGACGCTGAGGAAGCCACACGGGCACTCCTAAAACCCACACGGTCGTGTAAAAAACCCATGTGGCCGTGTGGGATTTGCCGAAGCTTCACACGGGCATAATGGAGATTCCACATGGTCGTGTGTCCCTGGCCGTGTAGGTAGCCTGAAGTCCATTTATTTGAAACGCCACGTTTTGACACTCACACGGGTAGCTGGGTAAGCCACACGGTCGTGTGGCCTGCCCGTGTGAGTCGGGAATTCTGGGTTTTAACCCAATTTCGAGCCACAAGTGAGGGAATCGACTTTTCAGAGCAGAAACAGAGCCCTAGAGAGAGAAAGTGCGAAGAACACACCCTAGAAGCGATCTTGGAGCTGGGTTTCATCAAATCGAGCTTGGAGATCACCATAGGAGTGAAAATCATCATCCCAGAGCAGATTCTTCCCATTGTTCTGAGTATGACTGCTTTATATTATGTTTTTCTCTCTCTCTCTCTCTATGGAGTAGACCCTTCTCTCACTTGGGTATGAAGAACCCTAGTTCCATGTGTTAGGGATCATGATTATAATGACTTGGGATTGCAATACTGTTTGGTTGTAATCGAATGATGCATGATTCATTGAATTGATTGAAGTCTGATAAGCTTTTCTTGATTTCTGCTGCAACCTGAGATAGATAGAATCTGATTAGGTTGTTAGAGCTTCTTCATTGGTAGTAGTAGATTGGCTATACGAGAGTTAGTCAGTCTACTGCTTTGTACTGGAATCCAATTCTGGTAGTGGAGTTCTGTGCTTATTGCTTCAGCTTTCTATCCCGGTGAAGACTAGTCGTCTGCCGGTTAGTTAGACTGAGAGGGCTTGGTCAGCTTAAGAGATTCCAAGCTACTGTCGGATCTTCCGCAGTTTAATAAACAGTAAATCAACCCAGGTAATTACAACTGAGACCTAACTAAGGAGCTAGGGGGACTCATTCCCGAGTGACTCTTCCTTTGCTTTAGAAAACTGAACCATTTCCTGCTTTCTTACTGCTTTTAGTTAAAACCACAATCAATCAACTTAGTTTGCTAGATAATAGATATTAACGGAGTAGGCAGTAGATCTAGACCCCGGGTTGATAATTAGACTTGCCACTTTACTGCATTCCTGGACTGCGATTACACTTGATCGTTGATAGACCGATAATTACACATATTTTCGCCCCTATTCTTGAGCCGTTTGAGAGGTTGACTCTCGGGTTTTAACCCGATTTCACGTGAGGTGGTGTGTTTATGTCATATTTCAGGACCCGACGTTGGAATCGAGGCGAAGGAACGAGATTCGGGTCGAAAGGAGCAAGTGAGGCTTGAAGCGGGCTGGAGGAAGAAAATACCCGGCCATGACCACAAATACCCGGCCGGGTATTATTCTGAGGAGACCGGGGATTTTCCATTTTGGCGTCTGAGAAACAGGGAGGGTCCCGGTCTTGAAGGCAGAAATCCACGACCGGGGATTATTGGAGGAGACCGGGTATTTTCCCCTGGCCAAAACGCGCGTTTCAACTATACCCGGTCGAGACCCAAAATACCCGACCGGGTATATCGACCGGGTATCGCGACAGGCAGCTGTTTTAAGGGAAAAGAAGGCTGAAAATCAAGGGATTCGAGTTTTAGAGAGATAGAGCGCTTCCTAGTGAGAGAAAGCGACGAACAAGAGTCTCCAAGTGCCCTAGCTTGATCTTCATCACCATTGGAGCTTGGCTTGAGCTTGGAGGAGTGCCAATCAACGTCTAGGAGCAGGAATCCATCCTTCACAGTATGAATTCCGCGTCTGATTCTGCTTTTGCTTCTTTCTCCATGGAGTAGTTCTCCCATTCATCTGGGTATGGAGAACCCTAGATTTGTATGTTATGTTTGATTGTATGAACCCAAGTACTGATTCAATGATTTGATTATATTTAATTGAGGTTTGATTGATTGAATGGCATGAATCCTGATCAAATTCCTGTTGTTTCTGCTTTAACCTAGAATGAGAATATCTGCCTAGGTTGATAGAGCATCCTTGATTGAAGGTAGGGAGTTGGTGACTTTAGTCGAGGAGCCAACTCACTACTCTGTACCGGATTCACTCCGGTAGTGGGGGTTTTGTTTGTTAAGGCCTCAATCTGTTTACTCCGATGGAGGTTAGTCGCCCGCTAGAGACTCGGATTGAGAGGGTCTGAAGACCTTTAGTCGAGACTTCAGGCTGTTTGAGAACCTTCCGCAGTATAACTATCATAGAAACTGAACTTGGTAATTGCAATCCGGCTTAACTGCAGTCTAGGGGGAACCATATCCGGGTGACCTCTCTTAACTTGAATACAACCGTTTACTTGCTTTGTTAGTTTGTTAGTTTAGACTTGCATTAAAGTTTCATTGCTAGATAACAAGAATTCACTGAGTAGTCATCAAATCTAGGACCCGGGTTGACATTTAAACCCAAACCCGCTATACTACGCTTTAGGAAGTGGTTTCACTTGGCCAATTCCTGGAGTGACAGTAGAAGTGAGTCAAGTTTTTGGCGCTGTTGCCGGGGACGGCTAGGTTGTTGAAGAAAAGTGAATCCTGTTAATATAGCTTTTCTTTTCGCTTTGTTTGCTTTGTCCCACTTGTGCCTTCACGTGTTTTCTTGCTTGAGTGTGTGCAGGTAGTGCATGACCCGTAGCCAGTCGGGTGGTTTACTGCCGTTGAATCCAGAGATTGACCGCACCTGTCGCCAACTCAGGAGACAACAGCGAGCTAGACTGGCTACGGAAGAGCGTATAGACGGCCACCTAAGCAGCGATTCTGAGGAAGAGTACAGGATGGACGGAGAGTACAATCAACACCAGGGGAATCCTCAGCAGGCTCCCCCGGTGAATCAGGTCTTGGGGAACAATCCCATACCCCAGGATCATGGGGTTCATCATCCACCGCCGCCGGGTCCCACCTTGGAGTACTACTACACTCCACGGATTGCTGACATCCGCCCGGTCATCCTCTACCCGCCTATTCCAGCAAACAACTTCGAGATCAAGCCATGCTGGATTCAGCTCATTACATCCTCTATCCAGTTCCATGGCTTGAAGGATGAGGAGGCCAGGGTACATCTTTCCCGTTTTCTGCAGCTGACGAATGGGTTCAAGCTGAATGGTGTCCCTGATGATGCAATCCGCCTTCACCTCTTCCCCCATTCTCTGGCGGGGAATGCTAAGAGGTGGTTGGAGACCCAGCCCCCATTGTCCATCACCTCTTGGGACGATCTGGCTGACAAATTCGTGCACAGGTACTATCCGGCATCAAAGACTACAGAGATCCAGCGGGAGATCACTCACTTCCGCCCAGAGCCAGATGAGTCACTTCGTGATGCTTGGGAGCGGTACATGGGGTATTTCTGGCAGTGTACCCATCATGGCTTCAGTGATGCATTCACAGTGGGGAACTTCTACAGTGCTCACTCTCCAGACAGCTAGAGGGTGATTGAGTCTCTATGCCCAGGAGGGGATATTCTTACTAAGACTCCACCCGAGCTGAACCAGATGATCAATACCTTGGCTGCCAGAGATCATTCTTGGGGGCAGAGCAGCAGAGGCAGACATTCCCGGGATCGTGGTGTGCACGCCATGGAGACCAGATCCGGGCTCGAGCAGCAGGTAGCTGAGCTAGTGCAGACATTGAAGCAGCCCAACAGTCTTATTCCGGGCAGAGGTTTGGCTACACCTCCAGTAGCTCAATGTCAGTGGTGTGAGAGCTCGAATCACATAGTGGAAGACTGCCAGGCTATGAGGGAGTCTACTACTCCCCAAGAGCAGTTGGACTTCATCGCCAATGCTCGGCGCCTCGACCCGTACAGCAATACATATAATGAGGGGTGGCGCCAGCATCCCAACTTCTCTTGGGGCAGCAACACCACTAAGCCACCTGGTTTCCCAGCACCAGCTGGTGGCTTTCAGCAGAGGCAGCCCTTCTAGGCTCGACAGAGGCCAGCCCCACAGCAGCAGTCCTACCAGCCTAGGCAGGGGCAACCATTCCAGCAGCCCCAGCGCCAGTTTGCCGAGCCAGCAGCAGCTCCGGCTCCAGATGACCGGATGACAAAGCTGGAAAATATTCTAGCTTCATTCATGACTAGCACGCAGCCAACTATCACGAGGTTGGATCAGAGCGTAGCCTCACTGGAGGCAGGTCAGAAGAACCAAGGTGCCATTTTGCAAGATCTGCAGCACCAGGTGGGTATCTTGGCCCGCCAAAACACTACCAGGGCACCGGGGACTCTACCTGCCACCACTATTCCGAATCCTCGTGATCCTCACCAGCTCCAGCAGCTGGATGCCATTTTTACCAGGAGCGGTAAGACCATATCTGTTGATCCTGTCCCGGCCAGACAGGAGGAACCACTACCTGCTTCAGCACTTCCAGCCGACGATGCAGAAGTGCGGGTGGAGAAGGAAGCCCCTGCTCCCAAGCCACAACCAGTGGTTAAGGAGCATGTGCCCCAGCTTCCCTTCCCCACTCGCCTACACAAAGACAAGCTGGAGACTGAGTTTGCCAAGTTTATGGCAATGTTGAAGCAGCTCAACATCAGCATACCGTTCGTGGAGGCACTGTCGAAGATGCCCAAGTATGCCAAGTTCATGAAAGACCTCCTCACCGACAAGAAGAAACTTGGGGATCTTTCGACAGTGATGCTCAGTGAGGAGTGTTCTGCTATCCTGGAGAACAAGCTGCCCGAAAAGCGCAAGGATCCAGGGAGTTTTACTATCCCTCTTACTATTGGTAGCATGCATGTAGGCAAGTCCTTGGCGGATCTAGGCGCTAGCATAAATGTCATGTCATATAAGTTGTATAAAAAGCTAGACCTAGGTGAACTTAGCCCTACTAGGACGAGCATTCAGCTAGCTGATCGTTCCATTGTGCACCCTAGGGGGATCATAGAGGATCTGCTTGTTAATGTAGGTGCATTCACATATCCTGTCGATTTGCATGAGGATGTGGATGTGCCTTTGATTCTGGGTAGACCATTTCTTGCCACCGCCAAGGCACTTATTGATGTGCATGATGGTAAACTGATACTGCGTGCTGGGAATGAACAGGCTACTTTCTCTGTGACTGAATTCGATCACTGTGCTATGCTTGTTGTCACGCCTGTACATGCCATTTCTGATCAGGTACACAAGCCTGTCGTGTATCCTTCTACACCTCTTATTTTGCAGGACCCTCCTATCATTCCTTCGCCGCCACTCCATCCAGCCTCGCCTCCGAACAAAAAGACCAAGGAGGAGTGGCGGCCGAAGCAGCGGGTTGCTAAGCCTGCACGGAAGAAAGGTGGAGACCACTATGAGCTGGTCCCACCTCCTGCACCACGATCACCCTGGCCGTCCGGGTACTCACTCGCCTGCATCTTACCGGATGGCCAGGTCGAGCTTACCGATGATAGTGGTCGCATCCGTCGGGTGCATGGCCACAACCTGAAGCTGTACCTCAAGAGCGACGTGGATCCGCTCTTGGGGGCACCTGTTCCTTCACCTCCCTGAGTATCCACCATGGGCGTCCAGCTAAAAGACGGTAAAGAAGCGCTTGTGGGGAGGCAACCCCACCACGGTTTGCATTTCTTTTCCCCTTTTCTCTGAGTTTTTTTTGTGTCGTCTTGAGTCAGTTGCATGTCTGTAGTGAAGTTCGGTCGTCTGTTATGCCTTGTTTTGGTGCTGTTGTGCAGGAGAGGTCGAAAATTTGGGCGATTGAGTTTTTTTGGCCGGAAGGGGAAAATACCCGGTCGTGGGCCAAAGTACCCGACCGGGGATTTTTTTGCTTCACGACCGGGACCCCTTCTGTTTCTCGGGG